GGAACACTAGAAGATGAGTATAAACTGCACTTTTGGATATTTCAGCATTTAAGTGGCACTTTTTCGGAAATAAATCCTTGAATCATTTGATGAACAAAAAAATCTTGGATTTCCACTAATGGAAAACTCTTAGCTGACCTTGAAAGCATTTTTGGTGGTCCTTCCTGCAAGTACCAGTGCAAAGTAAAATGTGTAGTAAGCATTTGGATCTGTCCTAAAAGTGCCTTTTTGGTTAACTTAGTAAAACTGATACGCTGCAAACATCATGAATCGAAGAATTTAATTAAGCAAATTAATTTTCTTAGGTTAATAGGCCTCTGGTCAGGGGGCCATTTCGAAAAAGAAGTGGAAGAAGATGTGAAGTGACTCGCTCAAATTTCACCTCCTTTTATAAGAATTCAGAAGAAATGTGACTTTTCTGTATAAAGCTTTCTGTAACAATTTCTGTATGGGCGTAAGAACGAACCTGAGAGAAAGAAAAGGAAGTCTTTGATATTTTCTGATAGAGACTATTGCTTGGAATTGGGCGTGCTCTCTCTGATAGAAAACAAATGTTTGTTAAAACTGGCAGAGAGCAGACTCCCCTATCTGAAATCAGTGGACCCAAATGGATCTTTCGGAACAGACCAGACATGGCATGCTCCCATCAAACAGAAACAGTCATAAAGAAAGTCCGGTGTGGTTAAGGAGAAGCAGCAAAGAGATGGACAGATGGTGTTCAACAGGTTGCTGGTAGTTGGCTTCTAAGTATTTGAAGCTGGTGAGGGGCTGAGAAAGCTTTCAAAAGTTCTTGGATATTGCCGGTATTCATAGATAGCATTTTTGCTTTGTGCAGACTCTACCTCATAACTCAGTTAACACTGTGTTAGGAAAGTGTTAATATAAATCGGCAGTCTGAAACTTGTTACACTGTTAACCTTGTTAAAATTCTGTTGATTTCATGCAATTTTTGCCACCTAATGTAGAAGGCAAGGCAGTGGATCAGATGTCACATAGCTTTAATTCAGACTGTGCTACTGACTGCACAAACAGGTAAATCACTTCTTGTCTCTGCCTTCCTCTTCGATAATTTGTCATTTCAGGCTAGGAGCTCTTCTGGGTGGGAATTCATTTTCTCTCTCTTTTTTTACAATGCATTGAACAATGTAGCAATTGCAAAAAAATACAGCTAAAAGTGCCACTGTATTCACTTTTTATTTTCCCCAGGGAATGTATGTGTTTTTGCATGCAGTAAAGGGAACTCCTTTTGAAACACCTGATCAGGGGAAAGCTAGGCTACTAACACACTGGGAACAACTGGATTACGGAGTACAATTTACATCTTCAAGAAAATTCTTCACAATCTCTCCTATAATTCTGTGAGTTCAAAACTGTATTATGGATTAACTGAATCATAAACCCATGATTTCAAAAGCTGGAACAAAATGATTTGCAATTTATATTCTAAAGGTGTTTTCTCTCTTTTTGCTTGCTTGTTTTTGCATCGCAGAGGTAGGGACTACGTATTTCCAGGCCATATAATCAAAAATCTTTCTTCCTGCAGCTGCTGACACTCCAGCTCACATACTGAAGTTGAAGTTTGTCAACAGTTATTAATGGGGCAGGTTTTAAAGGTTAGAAAATGTTGTGAGGAAAACTTACTGTTAACTCTTGAAGTTCTTCAAGAGATTATAAGTCATAAATATCAAAAGTCTAAACTAATTGCCTTTAGCACATGACAGCATTTATTAACTGTATTGCAACTTGTGAGTTACGAGGAGCGTGGCAGTCCTCACTAAATGGGGTCTGGGATTTGGCATGTCGGTTTTGCTTTGTACAGATTGTTTTCTGTTTACACTAGTTATGTAAATAGATTAGAAATCCTACACCGCCTGTCTCTGTTGACAAAAGTTTGGTTGTGTAACTAAAGGAAATCAGATACGTATTTAATATCCAAACTCTAAATTAAAGTCTTTCTGTTTTTCCCTGAAGGAAGTTGTCCACTTGCATGGCAGGGTGTTGGGGGAAGGGAAGATCCAGCATCGTGTTTAGAAAGTTGGTTCACAAAGGATAGAAACTGAAAAAATACATATAACTCCTAAAAAAAAAAAAAAACAACCCATCTTTTTCTTCAAAGATTGGGGGGATTCTCCCTTTCCAGTAAGAATTTTGTATTGATAACACTGGTGTATGGTTCTCTTCATGCACTAATAATGCGTAAGTAGCTGAATAAAAATCTCTGTTTTGCTGGAAAAAAGCAAAAAAAGCTGGAAAAAAGAAAAAACCCAACAAACTGGTAGCCTCATTTCTGTGACTAGTTTTTGCAACGAACTAGATGAAATTATTGCCTCAAAGCATGAAGAAGTTGGTAGTGAATAGGATTTTCTGAGGCACATTTCCTTATTCTTGCAGTTGAACAGGTTGTGGACTGGATAAAAAGTAAAATGTGCTGGAAACATCTGCTGGATGGGAAACATTTTAAAATCACGCCAATCACAGATGTGCTCAGCATAAATGATTTTTGCACTGAAAAATGTCAAATGCTTTGTCACTGAGCTTGTTAGGGTAGCAGAACTGCGAGTACTTTGGTAACAGATCTTACACTTTATAAGACCTGTATCGTAAATCAAGCTTGTAGCTGCTGAAGTCAGAGACTCCCAAGTTGAAGGGCGGGGAGAAGTGCTGGAGGAAACTACTAGCTGAGAGTTGCTTTTTAGCACCTTGAGAAGTACGGGAAGAGACTTAGTCCATGATTTTGCTGCAGATACTCTAGAACCTCAGGTGAGATATTTAATACAGGAATAGATCAGTTGTTAACCAGTGAGATATTACTGATTACTAAAGCACTTTTTTCAGCTATGCTTTGTTTATTTTTTAGACAAGGATGTCATCAGCTAAGCTTGCTCCCTTTTCTCCCATAGGTACTTCCTGGCGAGTTTCTACACAAAGTATGACCCAACACACTTTATCCTCAACACAACCTCGCTCCTGACCGTGCTTATCCCCAAGCTGCCGCAGTTGCATGGCGTTCGAATCTTAGGCATCAATAAATATTAAGCAGAAGGTTTGACACTGACGGCCCCTGATGTGGCTCTTGCTGCTCCCCAGGTGAAGGAAACGAGTAGTCTGCTGTGCCGTGTATCTAATCGTATTCAATAAGAGATGCTTTTACACCTGAGATACAATTCCTACTTCCTGCAGCACTGTCTGGGATGAAAGTTGAGTTTATAAGAAGATGCCTTCAAATACTTAAATGTGAATCGGAAACCTCTAGAAGAAAGATTTCCATGAAGAACTGGGCAGGCCCAGCTCTAAAGCGTAATCCCCACTACGGCTGTATGTATGCCCGGCTGATGCAAGTGACTTGCAAGGGAGGTGTGAGTAACAGCTGAAATGGAGAATAGTGTTTCACAAATACCCAGGCAACCATAATGCAAATGGTAACTGTATATTTATAAATCCAGGATCCTGGATGCCAAGGACTGGTGAGGCAGCATTCGTAGATTGAGTGAAAGTAGCTAGTTTCTGCTGTATGGGTTATAGGTGTTTGTGCTTGTTATTGCATTGTAAAAGTTTGTCTCACAGTAAATACTGTGACAGCTAGCATAAACTGATGGTATCATTCATGCCATATTTGTTCTTCTGATTTTTTTTGTCACAAAGACCGAAGAAAGTCCTTAACTGTCAGCTCAGGGGATTTCTACATCAACTTGATAGCTCAGTGTATGTACGCTTTTACAAGTTGCCACTGTTGTGTTTATTTCATTTTGCTTACCAGGAGACCGACTTTTCTGTGTGTAAATGGGACATCCTGAAAAATTTGGTTTTCTTTCAAGGAGCAGATTTTTGACTATTTTCTTTGATACTTGACTGATGGATTATTTTTCAGTAGTTGAGAGGCCGGTAATGGAGCGGGAAAGCGTTGCTGCTGTTGTAGGAGAAGCAGCTCCGTTATGGAGCAGCAATGTCAGAACACACGGGAGAGACTCTGTGCAGGTTAGAACAGAGGTCAAGCTAGAAGTAGGTGAATAGGCAAATCACATGGACTATTCTTCTGCAGAAAAAGGTGTAGATAATTTGCATGTCTCAGAAGTGTGGAGGAATGCTGTGGTTTAGGGGTACCGTGTAGTACGGAGTAATTCTGTATACATCAACTCTGGAACTAGAGTGAAGAGGGTACATCTAGAGCTCTGAGGACTTACTTCTCTGTCTTGGAAAAACAATTAATTGTGAAGTCTACCCTACGTCAACCAGCCAAAACCGTCTCAGATTTAACAGAAGACACCATTTAAGGCTCGATTTACATTTTGGTTGCAGCGACAGCCAGTGAGCTGGAAAAACAAATAAAAAAAAAAAGCCAAGCCCCCAGTGGCATACTTCTTTTCTTGTGAAGAGCATTTTCTGGCTATTTACTTTCTTGATAAAGATGCAGTTAAAAAAAAAAAAAAGTAATGAGTTATTGATTTTTTTGTAATTCTATGTGGTGTTTGTCCGGAAAGTGGTAGCTGGCTAAGTTTTAAATAAAGGCGCTCACAAGGCTACGCTGGCCCCTTGACCACCACCGCCGGGCCTACAACTGACGGCCCGCGCTTACCGACCCGGGGCGGCGGGTCCTGGGTAGTGGCGGGACGCCAGGCTGCGGCGCGGAGGTGCCTTGGGCGGGCGCGCAACGCGCGTGGCTTGCGGAACTG